GAGATCGGGCGTTTTCTGGGTGGTGTGGCCGTAAGCTATTAGAAGAGTTGAAATTACAGCTGTTGTTGATTTCTTCACTGCATAATTAACTTTTTGATAGATTGTTTCTTCCCGCCAAGAAAATAACAAAATGCTTACAACACTAGATATTCCTAGGCGGTCGCCTATCCAAGTACTAACCAAGCCCGACCCTGCTTGGCTTCCGAGATCAGACGAGATCGGGCGTTTTCAGGGTGGTGTGGCCGTAAGCGATAAGACAAGTTGAAATTACAGCTCTTATTGATTTCTTCACTGCATAATTAACTTTTTGATTGATTGTTTCTTCCCGCCATGAAAATAACAAAATGCTTACAACACTAGATATTCCTAGGCGGTCTCCCATCCAAGTACTAACCAAGCCCAACCCTGCTTGGCTTCCAAGATCGGGCGTTTTCAGGGTGGTGTGGCCGTAAGCTATTAGAAAAGTTGAAATTACAGCTCTTATTGATTTCTTCACTGCATAATTAACTTTTTGATTGTTTGTTTCTTCCCGCCATGAAAATAACAAAATGCTTACAACACTAGATATTCCTAGGCGGTCTCCCATCCAAGTACTAACCAAGCCCAACCCTGCTTGGCTTCCGAGATCAGACGAGATCGGGCGTTTTCAGGGTGGTGTGGCCGTAAGCTATTAGAAAAGTTGAAATTACAGCTCTTATTGATTTCTTCACTGCATAATTAACTTTATGATTGATTGTTTCTTCCCGCCATGAAAATAACAAAATGCTTACAACACTAGATATTTCCAGGCGGTCTCCCATCCAAGTACTAACCAAGCCCGACCCGGTTTGGTTTCCGAGATCAGGCGTTTTCAGGGTGGTGTGGCCGTAAGCTATTAGAAAAGTTGAAATTACAGCTCTTATTGATTTCTTCACTGCATAATTAACTTTTTGATTGTTTGTTTCTTCCCGCCAAGAAAATAACAAAATGCTTACAACACTAGATATTTCCAGGCGGTCTCCCATCCAAGTACTAACCAAGCCCGACCCGGTTTGGTTTCCGAGATCAGGCGTTTTCAGGGTGGTGTGGCCGTAAGCTATTAGAACATTTGAAAATACAGCTGTTATTGATTTCTTCACTGCATAATTAACTTTTTGATTGATTGTTTCTTCCCGCCAAGAAAATAACAAAATGCTTACAACACTAGATATTACTAGGCGGTCTCCCATCCAAGTACTAACCAAGCCCGACCCTGTTTGGCTTCCGAGATCGGGCGTTTTCAGGGTGTTGTGGCCGTAAGCTATTAGAAAAGTTGAAATTACAGCTCTTATTGATTTCTTCACTGCATAATTAACTTTTTGATTGATTGTTTCTTCCCGCCAAGAAAATAACAAAATGCTTACAACACTAGATATTCCTAGGCGGTCTCCCATCCAAGTACTAACCATGCCCAACCCTTCTTGGCTTCCGAGATCAGACGAGATCGGGCGTTTTCAGGGTGGTGTGGCCGTAAGCTATTAGAAAAGTTGAAATTACAGCTCTTATTGATTTCTTCACTGCATAATTAACTTTTTGATTGATTGTTTCTTCCCGCCATGAAAATAACAAAATGCTTACAACACTATATATTCCTAGGCGGTCTCCCATCCAAGTACTAACCAAGCCCGACCATGTTTGGCTTCCGAGATCGGGCGTTTTCAGGGTGGTGTGGCCGTAAGCTATTAGAAAAGTTGAAATTACAGCTCTTATTGATTTCTTCACTGCATAATTAACTTTTTGATTGATTGTTTCTTCCCGCCCAGAAAATAACATAATGCTTACAACACTAGATATTTCCAGGGGGTCTCCCATCCAAGTACTAACCAAGCCCAACCCTGCTTGGCTTCCGAGATCAGACGAGATCGGGCGTTTTCAGGGTAGTGTGGCCGTAAGCTATTAGACGAGTTGAAATTACAGCTCTTATTGATTTCTTCACTGCATAATTAACTTTTTGATAGATTGTTTCTTCCCGCCATGAAAATAACAAAATGCTTACAACACTAGATATTCCTAGGCGGTCTCCCATCCAAGTACTAACCAAGCCCAACCCTGCTTGGCTTTCGAGATCAGACAAGATCGGGCGTTTTCAGGGTGGTGTGGCCGTAAGCTATTAGAAAAGTTGAAATTACAGCTCTTATTGATTTCTTTACTGCATAATTAACTTTTTGATTGTTTGTTTCTTCCCGCCAAGAAAATAACAAAATGCTTACAACACTAGATATTTCCAGGCGGTCTCCCATCCAAGTACTAACCAAGCCCGACCCGGTTTGGTTTCCGAGATCAGGCGTTTTCAGGGTGGTGTGGCCGTAAGCTATTAGAACATTTGAAAATACAGCTGTTATTGATATCTTCACTGCATAATTAACTTTTTGATTGATTGTTTCTTCCCGCCAAGAAAATAACAAAATGCTTACAACACTAGATATTACTAGGCGGTCTCCCATCCAAGTACTAACCAAGCCCGACCCTGTTTGGCTTCCGAGATCGGGCGTTTTCAGGGTGTTGTGGCCGTAAGCTATTAGAAAAGTTGAAATTACAGCTCTTATTGATTTCTTCACTGCATAATTAACTTTTTGATTGATTGTTTCTTCCCGCCAAGAAAATAACAAAATGCTTACAACACTAGATATTCCCAGGCGGTCTCCCATCCAAGCCCAACCCCCTGCTTGGCTTCCGAGATCAGACGAGATCGGGCGTTTTCAGGGTGGTGTGGCCGTAAGCTATTAGAAAAGTTGAAATTACAGCTCTTATTGATTTCTTCACTGCATAATTAACTTTTTGATTGATTGTTTCTTCCCGCCAAGAAAATAACAAAATGCTTACAACACTAGATATTCCCAGGCGGTCTCCCATCCAAGTACTAACCAAGCCCGACCCTGTTTGGTTTCCGAGATCAGGCGTTTTCAGGGTGGTGTGGCCATAGGGTATTAGAACATTTGAAAATACAGCTGTTATTGATTTCTTCACTGCATAATTAACTTTTTGATTGATTGTTTCTTCCCGCCAAGAAAATAACAAAATGCTTACAACACTAGATATTCCTAGGCGGTCTCCCATCCAAGTACTAACCAAGCCCGACCCTGCTTGGCTTCCGAGATCAGACGATTTCAGGGTGGTGTGGCCGTAAGCTATTAGAAAAGTTGAAATTACAGCTCTTATTGATTTCTTCACTGCATAATTAACTTTTTGATTGATTGTTTCTTCCCGCCAAGAAAATAACAAAATGCTTACAACACTAGATATTGCCAGGCGGTCTCCCATCCAAGTACTAACCAAGCCCAACCCTGCTTGGCTTCCGAGATCAGACGAGATCGGGCGTTTTCAGGGGGTGTGGCCGTAAGCTATTAGACAAGTTGAAATTACAGCTCTTATTGATTTCTTCACTGCATAATTAACTTTTTGATTGATTGTTTCTTCCCGCCATGAAAATAACAAAATGCTTACAACACTAGATATTCCCAGGCGGTCTCCCATCCAAGTACTAACCAAGCCCAACCCTGCTTGGCTTCCGAGATCAGACGAGATCGGGCGTTTTCAGGGTGGTGTGGCCGTAAGCTATTAGAAGAGTTGAAATTACAGCTGTTATTGATTTCTTCACTGCATAATTAACTTTTTGATAGATTGTTTCTTCCCGCCATGAAAATAACAAAATGCTTACAACACTAGATATTTCCAGGCGGTCTCCCATCCATGTACTAACCAAGCCCGACCCTGTTTGGTTTCCGAGATCAGGCGTTTTCAGGGTGGTGTGGCCGTAAACTATTAGAAAGTTGAAATTACAGCTCTTATTGATTTCTTCACTGCATAATTAACTTTTTGATTGTTTGTTTCTTCCCGCCATGAAAATAACAAAATGCTTACAACACTAGATATTCCTAGGCGGTCTCCCATCCAAGTACTAACCAAGCCCGACCATGTTTGGCTTCCGAGATCAGACGAGATCGGGCGTTTTCAGGGTGGTGTGGCCGTAAGCTATTTGACAAGTTGAAATTACAGCTCTTATTGATTTCTTCACTGCATAATTAACTTTTTGATTGATTGTTTCTTCCCGCCAAGAAAATAACAAAATGCTTACAACACTAGATATTCCCAGGCAGTCTCCCATCCAAGTACTAAACAACCCAACCCTGCTTGGCTTCCGAGATCAGACGAGATCGGGCGTTTTCAGGGTGGTGTGGCCGTAAGCTATTAGAAGAGTTGAAATTACATACCAAAAGTTCTATACTCGTTTTGAATCTTGAGGCATTTTAACCAATGGCCATTGGATGCACCTGGCTCAGAGGCTGAACTTCACAGCAGAAAGCCTGGACCAAGAAATATGTGGACTTTCATTCACAGTTAGCGCTAACACAGATTTTGTCAGATGTTCAGAAATGGACAAGGCATCTATTGTTAAAATGTCCCTTGCTCACCAATACATTCTACAAGTTGATTTTATTGTTGAGTAGATTTTCATTGAATAAACTACGGTTCAATGTTTCCGCCCAAGAAAGCGACCAGCAAAATCCATGCCCCTTTCAATCAACAGTGGGTTTTCCCAAAATGACTTAGACTCTTTTAAGGACAGGGATTTGTCCAGTTTGGAAAGTTAGATCAGTTGGTTAGACAGTATTTCAAAAAACGCAATGGTTGCATCATGATTACTGTACTAGCTTACCACATTTTAAGGTGAATTAGCTGAGCGAAGAACATACTAATATGTACATCTTCGCATGTTGTTTGTTGCATTCTTGAAATGTTGGACTCAGTCTTGTCATCATGTACAGCTCTAGAAACAGGTTCTATGGTGTAATGGTTAGCACTCTGAATCCTGCGATCCGAGTTCAAATCTCGGTAGGACCTTCTAACTGTTCGCATTCGAAGTCCAGGACTGGTTGGTTTTATTCCTTGGCAGGAGATACATCTTAGAAACTCTTTTACTTATCTCAAACAAGTGCTAACTGTCCTCTGGCCAGTCATTTCGAATTCTTTCATCCAGGTCTGGCCGGTTAGCTCAGTTGGTCAGAGCGTCGTGCTGATAATGCGAAGGTCGCGCCAGGTTCGATGCCCGTACTGGCCATCAGTGTTTTCATCTAATACGCTTCGTTCAAATCAACTGATGCATTAACCTGCTCAGAATGACTTTTCAACGTCAAATATTTTTGTGTCCCTCAGCATTACATTGAAAAGTTTCTGAGCACATTGAACAGGTTCTGAGCACATTCATCTCTCATCTCATCTTCAACCGCTTATCCGGGGTCGGGTCGCGGGGGTAGCAGCTCTAGCAGGGGACCCCAAACTTCCCTTTCCCGGGCAACATTAGCCAGCTCTGACTGGGGAATCCCGAGGCGTTCCCAGGCCAGTGTGGAGATATAATCTCTCCACCTAGTCCTGGGTCTTCCCGAGTCTCCTCCCAGCTGGACGTGCCTGGAACACCTCTCTGGGGAGGCGCCCAGGTGGCATTCTTACAAGATGCCCGAACCACCTCAACTGGCTCCTTTCTATGCAAAGGAGCAGCGGCTCTACTCCGAGTTCCTCTCGGATGACTGAGCTTCTCACCCTATCCCTAAGGGAGAGGCCAGCCACCTTTCTGAGAAAACCCATTTCGGCCGCTTGTACCCGCGATCTCGTTCTTTCGGTCATGACCCAGCTTTCATGACCATAGGTGAGGTAGGAACAAAGATTGACCGGTAGATCGAGCTTTGCCTTTCGGCTCAGCTCTCTTTTCGTCACAACGGTGCGGTGAAGCGAATGCAACACCGCCCCCGCTGCTCCGATCCTCCGACCAAACTCCCGCTCCATTGTTCCCTCACTCGCGAACAGGACCCGAGGTACTTGAACTCCTTCACTTGGAGTAAGGACTCATTCCCTACCCGGAGTAGGCACTCCACCGGTTTCCTGCTGAGAGTCATGGCCTCAGATTTAGAGGTGCTAACCCTCATCCCAGCCGCTTCACACTCGGCTGCGGACCGATCCAGTGAGTGCTGAAGGTCACCGACCGATGAGGCCATCAGGACCACATCATCCGCAAAAAGCAGTGATGTGACCATCAGCCCACCGAGGGAACCCCTCCCCCATGACTACGCCTTGATATCCTGTCCATGAATATTACAAACAGGATTGGTGACAAAGCGCAGCCCTGGCGGAGGCCAACCCCCACCGGGAACGAATCCGACTTACTGCCGAGGACACGGACACAGCTCATGCTTTGAGCGTACAGGGTGGATGGCCCTGAGAAGAGACCCCTCACCCCATACTCCGCAGCACCTCCCACAAAAGATCCCGGGGTACCCGGTCATCGCCTTCTCCAGATCCACAAAACACATGTAGACTGGATGGGCATACTCCCAGGCCCCCTCAGGATCCTTGCGAGTAAAGAGCTGGTCCGTGGTTCCCGGCCAGGACGAAAACCGCATTGTTCCTCTTCAATCTGAGGTTCGACTATTGGCCGAACCCTCCTTTCCAGCACTTTGGAGTACACTTTACCAGGGAGGCTGAGGAGTGTGATACCTCTGTAATTGGCACACACTCTCTGGTCCCCTTTTTAAAGGGGAACCACCACCCGGTCTGCCACTCCTCTGGCACTGTCCCAGACTTCCATGCAATGTTGAAGAGGCGTGTCAACCAAGACAGCCCTTCCCCACCCAAAGCTTTTAGCATTTCTGGACGAATCTCATCCAGTCCCTGGGGCTTTGCCACTGTGGAGTTGTTTGACTACCTCAGCGACTTCCCCCAGGGAAACTGGCGATGACCCTCCATCAGCCTCCAGCTCTGCCTCTGTACTAGAGGGCGTGTAGGTCGGATTCAGGAGCTCCTCAAAATGCTCTTTCCAGCGCCCGATCACATCATCAGTTGGGGTCAACAGTGTCCCATCCTTACTGTACACAGCTTGGATGGTTCCCGTTTTCCCCTTCTGAGGTGCCGAACGGTTTTCAGAAGCATTTTGGTGCCGACCGAAAGTCCTTCTCCATAGCTTCTCCAAACTTCTCCCACACCCGCTGCTTTGCCTCTGACACGGCAGCGGCTGCAGCTTCTCGGGCCTGTCGGTACCCTGCAACTGCCTCCGGGTCCCCAGGGCTAGCATATCCCTGAAGGCCTCCTTCTTCAGTCGGACAGCTTCCCTGACCACCGTGGTCCACCATAAAATGTCCCTTGCTCACCAATACATTCTACAAGTTGATTTTATTGTTGAGTAGATTTTCATTGAATAAACTACAGTTCAATGTTTCCGCAAAGAAAACGACCAGCAAAATCCATGCCAATCAACAGTGGGTTTTCCCAAAATGACTTAGACTCTTTTAAGGACAGGGATTTGTCCAGTTTGGAAAGTTAGATCAGTTAGTTAGACAGTATTTCAAAAAAGCGCAATGGTTGCATCATGATTACTGTACTAGCTTACCACATTTTCAAGGTGAATTAGCTGAGCAGAAGAACATACTAATATGTACATCTTCGCATGTTGTTTGTTGCATTCTTGAAATGTTGGACTCCAGTCTTGTGTCATCATGTACAGCTCTAAGAAACCCAACAGGTTCTATGGTGTAATGGTTAGCACTCAGGACTTTGAATCCTGCGATCCGAGTTCAAATCTCGGTAGGACCTTCTAGCTGTTCGCATTCGAAGTCCAGGACTGTTTGGTTTTATTCCTTGGCAAGCAGAAGCTGATACATCTTAGAAACTCTTTTCACTTATCTCAAACAAGTGCTAACTGTCACTACGGCCAGTCATTTCAATTCTTTCATCAGGTCTGGCCGGTTAGCTCAGTTGGTCAGGCGTCGTGCTAATAGCATGAAGGTCGCGGGTTCAAAGCCCGTACTGGCCATCAGTGTTTTCCATCTAATAGCCGTTCAAATCAACACTGATGCATTAACATTCCTGCTCAGAATGACTTAACGTCAAATATTTTTGTGTCCCTCAGCATTACATTGAAAAGTTTCTGAGCACATTGAACAGGTTCTGAGCTTATTGAACAAATCAACATAGATGCACAGATAATTAAAAATCTCTTTACATGTAAAATAAACAATTCATTTTATCAAAAACGGTCAACATCATCTACATTATAGTTTCCGTTTATGGCTGGATAGGTCCGTCCCTCCGTAACCGAAATCAAATCAACACAGATGCATTAACATTCCCGCTCAGAATGACTTAACGTCAAATGTTTTGTGTCCCTCAGCATTACATTGAAAAGTTTCTGAGCACATTGAACAGGTTCTGAGCACATTGAACAGGTTTGGAACACCTCATTTTTAAATGTCAATTCAATGAAAATGCAAACACTATTCATGTCATTCAAAGGCGATGACTATGCCGAACAATCATTTAACAGCGTCCTTACCAAAAAGTTCTATACTCGTTTTGAATCTTGAGGCATTTTAACCAATGGCCATTGGATGCACCTGGCTCAGAGGCTGAACTTCACAGCAGAAAGCCTGGACCAAGAAATATGTGGACTTTCATTCACAGTTAGCGCGAAAACAGATTTTGGCAGATGTTCAGAAATGGACAAGGCATCTATTGTTAAAATGTCCCTTGCTCACCAATACATTCTACAAGTTGATTTTATTGTTGAGTAGATTTTCATTGAATAAACTATGATTCAATGTTTCCGCAAAAAACGACCAGCAAAATCCAAGCCA